TGTTAATGTTTTTCTGTATCCTGAGATATGTCACAGTACCATATCCGCTTTCACTGGCATCTGAAAAGTGATGTAACTGGCCATGAACGGGTCTTCCAAAATCTGGTGGCTTGAGGCATTTGTCAACCTTGAATGCTGTCACCTTAACCAGGTCTTGCAACCATGTGATCCGCTGCTGATGGAGAGCTGGGGTAATTTGATCATCCCATGCATGACTCCTTCTACTGAGATTCTGGAGTAAGAGCTTAGCTGTAAGTGTCAGTGGTGCAAGAAATCCCAAAGGATAATAAACTGAGCTGACCACCGATAGCGTCCCACGTCGAGTACGGAGCTGTTCCTTGAGCTCCATTTTGAACTTAAAAGTGTCTGTGTCGACACACCAATGAAGCCCAAGGCCTCTCTCAATAGCCAGTTGGTCTCTGTCCAAATCCAACTCATGCAGAATCTTGGATCTCTGCTCCTCTGGAATAGATAGCAATACTCCATGACTGTTGCCTATCCATTTTGTCAAATGGAAGCCTCCCTTATGGTAGACAGCTGACAAATCTCTGACCAATTTAACAGCCTCCTCCTTAGACGGCAAGCTCTTCAGACAGATGTCCATGTAAAAGTTCTGATTGACTGTGTCAATTACCTCAGCAGGAAAACTGTTCTGGTTATCTTCTGCAGTTTTTCGTAAAGCATAACAAGCACAGCTGGGTGAAGACACCGCCCCGAACAGATGCACAGTCATCCCATTCTCCACAAAATCTTGCTTTACATCCCCTTCAGGCCACTGCAAAAAATGCAGGAAATCTCAGTCTTCCTGGGCTACCTTGACTTGATGGAACATGGCCCAAACGTCAGACATCAATGCCACAGGTTCTTGTCTGAATTGTGTGGGGACTCCTAACAAAGAACTGCTGAGGTAAGGACCTTGTTGGAGTTGACTGTTGAGAGATATCCCCCTGAACTCGGCTCCACAGTCAAATACAGCACAAAGTTCCCTTTTTGGAATGGAACAGTTCATGGTGTGGAATATACTACACCGTTCCATCGGATCGTTCCACCTTGTGTTCAAGCACACGCTCAGCATACCCTTATTGGTGACATCATTGAGAAAGTTTCTGTATTGCTGGTGGAACTTTTCATCTCTCTCAAACCTCCTCTTTAATCCAGGAATGCGCTGCTTGGCAATACCATGATTGTTTGGCAGATGGACATCTTCCTTAACGGGAAGTCTCAAGCTGTCGTGCCCATCTTGAAGTTTGACTGAATCTTTCATGATTTCCATGAACTTTATATCATCTCTTGACATCTCTTCTTTATCCTCTGATGTCTTTAAATTAAAATTACGATTGTACTGATTGTTAAGCAACACCCCCAAGTCTTCAATTGAGATCCTGTGAACAGTAGCAGCGGGGTGGCCACTCTCACACCGCTTGTAACTGCTTCCTTGAAGGGGACCATTAATAACCCGTGGATAATTTCCATAATTCCCGTGGAGGCATTGGTACCTATCAACAACTCCACGTCACCTTGAATGTGAGGCAAATCAACACCATCCAGGTATGGCCACCTAGCCAGCTCCTCTTCTTTCATGATGTTATCAGTGCTTACAGGCATCCTCTTCTGCGTGTAGACCTCTGGTAGATCGTAGAACTGTGCCCTGCGATTCAATCTTTCCAGTAGCTCACCTGCAGAGATTCTCCATTTTCCTATTAACTTGTATGGAAGCTTCAGGATCAATGTTCTCATATCCACTGGCATATTCAGTTCTCTCATGTACTTTATGTCCTCCAATGCACTGCAACACTCAGGTAAGAACAGTGCATAGACTTGAAGAGATTTAACGTCCTCAGGCTTCACTTGTGGCCAGCTGAGGGCTTTCTCCATATATCAGTCCCTCTAGAAAATTGCGATCGCAAGAATTAATGCAAATTCAACTAAAGTCTGCAATATTTGTGGGGACTTGCAATTTTTCAAAAGTCCCACGATTTTTCTGCATTTTTCTGCATTTTCCGGCTGACTGAAAGTCGTCACGTATACGACGTCATTTGAAACATCGTCAGACACGTCATCAAATGAGCTAATGGCATTGCAGTATGGAGAAACGCTCTGTATTAACTTTAGAATTTGCCTGATTAAATGCATACAATATGTGTTGAATGTATTAAAATGTTATTTTTACAGAAGATGTAGCTTACAGTTTTACAGTTACATTGTCTGGTTTGAGAGCTACAATATTTACTCAGGATTTTTTGCAACATTATTGGAGTCCATGTTTTGAAACTAATTAAATAAAACTAAAGAAGAGAACTATAAAAAACATTTGCAGCTATTTTTGTAATATTCAGTATGATTATTATAACAAGTGATTACATGACTTATTTTTTTGGAGGCAGTAATTTAAAAAAAAAATCACATTTTTTTCTCCTTTTGTCATTAACCACATTTTTTGTCATTTGCTGCAATTTCCTGCAAAAAAAAAAAAAAAAA